GAGATATTTGGAATCGAAATTATCTACCTGTCATCATTGACATAAATTAAACACGTTGAGTAAATAGTTATTAGACTGAAATCATAAATTTGAAATGTTTTTGTGTCAGTTCATCAGAAACTGTTTTATCATAATTTTTTGCAGAAAAATTTATGATTAATTTAAAAAAATAAAAATTTCACAAATTTATTATTTCAGTGAAATAACTATCTACTAAGCGTGTTTATTTTTCGTCAATAATGATATGTATTGACTATTGCTATTGTAAATATCTTAAGAACGGTTGCTCGTAGTGATTTTTTTAGCGTAAAAAGGCACAGAGATGTATATTTTTTCGCTCGGTAGTTTTATACAGGTACGGACAAAAAGTTATGACGCTTCAAAACAGTTAAAACACATGTACATGGCGCCCTCTCTTAGTAGGAGTCATATTGACATCAAAATCAAATTTCTCATGTCAAAAAACTTCCAGACATCAAAATTCATCCAAATATTGACTTCAGAAATTATTTAGAAAAAATCGAAATAAAAATTAAACTTGTAACACCATGTATCTCTGAAAGTAAGCATTTTAGGACATACATTTATACGAACTTTTTTACTTATTTTTATCTGCAGAATATGCTGCCGAAGTTTCCGGAATACAGTTTACCACCCTGTATATCTTCGTTTTTTCAGAGCGTCGCTTTTTTTGCTCTCGCTTTTTCTTGCTCTCTCGGAATTTTGCTATGAAAATCTAGCAACCCTGGATTTAATGTAGCTAATTTAAATTCCAATGCCAAAAATATCAAGCTCTCTACACGTCAATTGAACTAACCTCTCTGTAAATACTGGAAATGAGCAATTTCGTTTCTAACCTAGAAACCAATTTAAAGGCTGCTATCGATTAGCGACGTTTGCTAAATATTTAAATCTCAATTTGCCCTTAGTCCGATCCAATCGCCACAAACGATAATTAACAGGAAATAGCTTTACATATTTGTTGATTAAATGGTACAGTTTAATTTTTTGAAGGGGAAATCGGAAAACTAATTATACTTGTGTTTGGCATTTGTAATACAACGTAAATACGTGTACGTTCAAAAGTTGGGGATATTGTAAATGAGTTCTCACGTTCAGGCTGTAATAACTTTTTAATAAAATGGATGTTGTGTGGCGGAATACTAATGGTATTCATATTGAGTGTCAGAGTTTATTATATAAAAAAGATCCTTTTTTCATTTTTAAGTGTGCACCATTTACTTACCATCAATTAACATTAAAATAAATTTCTACAGAATGATCCAGAAATGAAGTGCTACAAATTCGTGGTACGAGCAAGTTTGCCAAAGTTGTGCCTTGAGATGTTCACCAAGATTCCATCAAAAAAGTTTAAAAAATTTCCAGGATTGCTGAGTTATTTGAAAAAAAAACGGATTTTTTGAAACTTTTTCGATATCATGTTGGTTTCCGAGATAATATCCAATGATACTAACCTAACCAATGCTCGTACCTCGAATTTGTAGCACCCTGTATATACAAATTTAATCAGTGTGCTTTAATTCTCAACAAATTATTTTTTTTAAGTTTTGTTCGAGAAATTTCCACACTCGGATTGCTCAAGAATTGCTCAAGATTTTATTTTAATAAAAGGTTTTCTTTAAATTTACGGTTTTAACAAACACGTTCTTATATTGTGGTGCTTGGACCGAACATGACCTGCAATATCTGGCTTAATTATGCTCTTTGCTTTTTATGTCATTTAAGTTGAATATATCACAGGACAACAGGAGAGATTGTATGTTTTAGGAGAGGAGACATCAATAGGATCAGAGAGGAAGAATATGAACATATTAAACGGTGCATTAGAGAAGCTGCAGAAGAAGCACTCGGACAAGAAGATCGGAAGACAAAAACGGCATATTGGTGGGACAGAGAGACTGAAAAAAAAAACAAAAGAAGCGTATCAAAAATTACTGTAACACAAAGACAAATATACCAAAACAGAATATAAAAGAATAAATAGAGAAGTGGTAATTAGAAAAGAATATAAAAGCCTGGGAAAACAAATGTTAGCACGAGATACTCCGAAACCTGGAAAACAATAAAAGCAGTTAGAACAAAAAATAAAACAAAAATCGTGCTAAATAATGTATCAGATCACCAATGGCTACAATATTTCCGTAAACTTCTTTCGGAAACTAAAACAAATTTTTTCGAAGAAGAAAAATACACTGTTTTAGAGGGAATCCAGCTACTATCGAACAAGTAATAGCAGTAATAACAGTCAAAGAAACCAAACTAAAAAAAATATCCTGAACCAGGTGGCCTAAATGCAGAGCTGATCAAGTATGGCCCATCAAAACTCTTAGAAATGCTCAGAAAACTATTTCAGAGATGCCTAAATGGGGAAACGATACCTACAGAATGGAGACAAGCGTATATATTATCTCCTATCCACAAAGAAGATCCAAAAAACCATCCAAAAAATTACAGAGGAACCGCGGTAATACCAACCATAGCCAGACGATCGACGATCGTCTGTGGACAATGTTTTTACTCTTAAAATCACTCTGGAGAAAAGACTACAGCGTAGCAGAGAGGCCGATGTTGCTTTCATAGATTTGGAAAAAGCTTACTATAATATACCTAACTTAAGACTATGAAAGGAGATGAAAACTTAAGGATGTAAATATAATATCAATTAATACAAATTATTAAAATACTAGTTTTTAATCAAGGAGCCTCGAAAAATAGATTTGATCGTCTAATGTTCTTATGCCCTCTTGCACCGTTTGTATAAACTTTGTTTAAAGGCTAACCAGTGATTAACTGTAATGAAATATTATATAGTTAATCACTGTTTAGCCTTTAAACAAAGTTTATACAAACGGTGCAAGTGGGCATTAGTGTCTTGTCCCGGTCAGTTAAAAGATGCCCAAATCGTATTTTTTATCATGACTCAATTTTTCGATTCCTTAACATATTTGGAAAAAAAGCATTTTTTACGAATTATTTAGTACCACACACTTGGTATTTCGAGTCAAATTTTCGTTATGAATCGCATGTTGCAATTTCAAATAAACCATATTCGAAAATGTCAAAAGTTGACATGATATATCATTCTATTCAGAATGTCCTTTGAATAAGAAGACTAAGGAAGGAGCATATCAAAAATCTTAGGTACACCGCGATGGGCCTCAAATATGGCCGACTTAAATTCCGGTTTATCAGTGTCGGTATAATTTTATTTAAAAAATGTAAAACTATGATGTAGGGTAGACGTGGGGTAGACTCAATAATTTGTTGTTTTATTTTACGTTGTGAATAAATGTTGGTAGTTATTAAAATTGTTATAAAAATATATAATTCTAATAAAAATAGATAAGTTATAATAAATATTAATTACCACAAACATCCGATACGCTACTGAAGCAGGTAAGTCAAGTTAACGTATCTAAATTCTTTGACATCTAATCTTTGACAAGTAATAAATAAAAGCTAAAATGCAAGAAAAATATATAATTTAGTTAATTTAAGTGAATTTCATAAATGATCGGTTTACTACACGTATGTATATTATATAGTCACTTACTAGCGAAAAGTTGTTCCATTATTTCACTCAATTTTTGCCGAGATCTACCGCACGCTACACAACCAACTATTTTAGAGTCTTTTTCGATAAATCGCGATAGTGTCACTGTTAATTTAAGTGCTGCCACAATTTCCATCTAGATTTACCACCTTTATACAACTATCAGTAGTAGAATAAATAATAAATAACATAAAATAAGCTCCGTAAAGACTGACAAATCCACAAAATTTCAAATCAAATTCAAATGTGTCAAATGAATCGTCAAACAGAACTGTCAAGGATCCCCACCCTAGAGAGCTTTTATGGTGCTTTTTCCGCCCACCATGCATGAATACATGGATAGCATTATGCTCCTTCCTTAGTCTTCTTATTCAAAGAGAATGTCAAACCAAAACAAAATACCGAGATTGCCATTTAAAAATCAAAAGTTGTAGTCATATCCTGTGAAACAGTAAGTGGCCGAAAACAATTGAATAAGTCAATCAATCCTAATTTATGTCATATACTAACATATAGTAAACGCCACGAATGTTTGGGAGTGATTCATCGGTCGCTACAATGTGAACTAATCTGTTCAAGGTCACATAAAACTTACTTCCAGTGCCGTGGTGTTTCAAGTCATATAATAATCAATATATTATCTGTTGTAATTTGTTGTTTTAACTGTCAAAGTCTTGTCAAAACATATTTTTGATTATAAATATAAAATGGAATGCCCCATTGGTCGCACTGCAAGCACACCAATGGACTGACGCACAAAAACGAATCAATCAAAGAAACGCGATATAGTATCGTCTTTGTCAATCACGCTAAGATTTTAGAATAAGTAGGAGGAGCGCAGGTAGATGATTAGACCGGGCCTTTAAAAACCTACGTCTGCGGTAAAAATTTACGTTTTTAATGTAAAGATGATAGCGCGCGTGTCGATTCCAACTTCATCAAGCGATGAATCACTCCCAAACATTCGTGGCGTTTACTTTACCAAATCTCGTTTTTTATCTGAAAAAAATAAAAAAGTTACAGGGGAGACGTTAGAGTTACACTTTTGAGACGTATCCGGTATTTTACTTTGTTTAAACTAGAAATAATGTATTATTTTCACATGTAAATTTTATAACCGAAAAGACTATATACATAGTCTTTTCGGTTGATTTGTATATTTGTTTTACTTCACTTATCATGAAAATTGATGAGCTGAGCTCATAATATTACCCGTCTGTATGTCAACAACTTTCAATTGTATTAATGCTGGTTGTATATTACCAAAAAGTTCTAGCTTAACCATTTGCATCCGAAATGAAATAAAAACAGTTGCCATAAATCCGCCTGCCAAAGCAAACGTTTTTTCGCGATTTATTTCACTTCATTCACGTTTCTATTACTGGCTGCCGTTTCCACTTTAAATTCAAATGCGCTATTTTTGCAGGAGGACTGTTCCACCCGACCGACGATAAGCAGGAAATCGCTTTCCGATACGCGGTGGAGAAAATTAACGGCGATCGCACCATCCTGCCGCGGTCTAAGCTGCAGGCGCAGATCGAGAAGATCCCGCCTCAGGACAGCTTCCACGCCTCAAAGAAAGGTAAGTTAGTTTTTTAGGTAGAGCTGGAATTTATTTTAGGTGTAGATGCCGCTATTTAGTAGGAATGCGTTCCTTTCGTGAATGTAACTACAGAACGATTATCGAATGTAATACCACAAGATGTTTCGGAATTAGCGAATAATACTTTTACTTGACACGAAATGCGTTACCCGGCAACACTAGGACTCTGAAGGAGGAGTAGTGTTGCCGTTCGTTTGCCATTCTGTAAAAAAATACCATTTAGTGAGTGTACCATTTAAAAATCAAAAGTTGTAGTCATTTCCGGTGAAACAGGAAATGACCAAAAACAATTCAATACGTCAATCAATCATAATTTATGTCATACTAAAGGCTGGCATAGGTTAGCCTTGGGTCGAGATTTCCGTATGTAAGAAGAGTACAATACGTTTATAATGTACTGAACAAAGAGAGGACAGTAAACACGTTGCCAAACGGATGAAATAAACCGAGAAACTGTGCACATCGCTAAGAGACGTGGAAGGGGATATAGCAGATTTGTCGCAGTTGACCGGTCGACCCAATCAATACCTCTCAGTACTTAAAGTTCTAGGGAAAGGTGTACGTCATGCGTTCAGCTTCACGATTTAATTACGTCTCGTGATACTTGATTTGTTTATTTATTAACGAGTCGTTGTAATTTTCCCTATAGCTTGAATTTTTTTAAGTGCAAGCTAGAAACACTTGCATTTTTGGTAAAAATAAGTGGAATTGAGTGGGTGTTCGACAGTGGTCGCGCTATTAGAACTCTGAATTCAAAAATCGATATCTCGAAATCTATTATAAATAATAGATTGTAGTTTTTTCAAGAACTTTGTTAATATTTCTGCTGTATTTTCTTTGTAGGCAGTATGTGAAAATCTTTATCAATAAAAAAATTACACGATTGCTGAAAATTGCTATGCTCTAAAAGTAAATGGTTGGATTGTTTACAATTTTTGAATGGAAAAAACAACCTTATCGAATTTTTCTTATGTAAACATATTGGAAAATATCCGATCTTGAAAATAAAAAAAAGTTTCAATATCTAAAGTGGTTCTTGAGTTATGGTCTGCTATGTGTTAAACAGTTGAGTTGCAGATGCTCAGAAACATGTCTAATGATTTTATCTAGTTATCTCTTGAAAAAAAAATCTATTAAAAATAAGCGGTTTGCGATCGTGATTTTACTTTACTTGATAGGGAAAGGCGTATCGGCAACGCCGCAACAGCACACCGTCGCGCGCCGCGTCGGTCGTTCGCATTTCTCTCACTCCGACTTAATAAGATCCCTATGCGATTTACTTCCACACATGTAAATGCCGACCCAAAAGTAACAGTTGCCAGCACGGTATCCTAACACGCAAAATCTCGTTTTTTAAATAAAATAATAAAAAAGTTATAGGGGTGAGCCACCTTTGAGACGCACCCGGTATATACTTATAATAGTGACGATATAGTTCGCTTATTTCATTAAGAAATAAAAAAAAAACTGTTTAAATAAATGTAAAAGAGAAGCAATATTTAATATGCCCCAATATTCGAACTACGTTAACTGACTATTTGCGTAACAGAATTTTGTATGCAGTATTAGACAGTGTGGTAAAAAGTAACACCTTATAAACTCTATTTCATTTTTTGACGAATGCTTGTTTATAACAACAGAGACGTTCACATTCATAACTTATTATTATATTGATCTCTCATTCAAATCCACATTTATTTGTAATAATTTATTAACTGACACAATTAAATATGCAATTAATTCATATTTGGGCGGTAATATAATGGTGGTATATTTAATTGGTACACTCTTTTACAAAGATTTAAATAGTTTTCTTAAACTATACGTTTTGTACATTTGTTGCTTTAAAAATATCTAAAATGTCAATATTCCATGGGTGTATTGATAAATAAGGTCTAAATTATAAGAAAATGCATTTTCTATGAAAACTTGAAGAGATAAGTAAAAAATGGTATAATACAATTTGATAGACAATTAAATCGTGCATCTGATTCATGTAAAATATACAGGGTGTTCTATTTAAGTTAAACAAGTTATTGCCGTTTAAATCTAGTAATTTAATAAAGCTTTCTTTTAGAGATTTAAGCTTTATTTAAACTAATTTTTAGACGCTCTGTATGAAGTAGTATGATTTTATTATGGCAACACAAAACTTAGAAAATAAATAGAAAAACTTCAGTACAATATTTGGTTTTAACAACTTAAATACGCCTACAGAAACAAAACATTAAAATTGTTACAACATTTTTATAAAAAAACTAATTATTTGAAAAACGGTAAGATTAAAGTGCAGCAAACCTTAATCAAATTTACCTTTACTTTAATCGTAGAAACTAAAAGTATAATAATATACAGGGTGTTCCATATATAAAAATACAACTTTGATATTTTTTATTTATTTGGGACACTCTGTATCATTTGTAAATGATTTTAAATTGTTGCTTTACGATACCATCACCCACAATTTCTAAAAATCTAATAATTTGGCTACAGTACTCCGTAATAAAATAAATGAGGTGAATAACCCTTTATAGATAAAATCCAAAAAAAAAATTAAAATCTAATTTATCTGTGAATTTTTTTGACAGACACAACTGTCCCAGTTATGGTATCTAAGGTTGGATTGACTTTTAAAAGTTAACTAGTCTTGCCGTTATCAACGATTCAGGCATATATTTTTAACACTCTCCTTCAGACAATTTTCACGCCTCAAGGAAAATGAAATTGGATTTAGTCTAGCGTCAAGCAATATCTAAGCTTTTCAGAACAGGCAGTACTCCGATATTAAATTCTCGATATTGCTTTCACGTATCGAAGTTAATATTTATTAAAAATAAGTCTTTCTAAAATTGGCGAATAAGATATATCAAACATGGTGTGACTGTTTATTTTCTTGTTATTACTGTAGATGCATTGAGAATATTTCCATAGTCTTTTATGTCTGTTTTATCTTAAAAATAATAACTGCCTATACATACTAAATATAATTAATTAAATAATAAAACTCGCTGCAGCCTTTTGTACTTAGCAACACCACCATTGACGTCGTAAAATCTGTAAAATTGTTAAGGCTTGTTGTAGACAATTCTCTGAAATGGGGCATGCATATCGACGCTTTGTCGAGAAAAAATCAGCTCTGACTGTTTTGCATTAAGATCTGTTTCTAAAGAGCTTAACTTGTCAGTGGCTAGAACTGTTTATTATGCACTTTTTGAGTCGCACCTCAGATATGCCCTTCCATTCTGGGGTACGTGTTATGCGACTCAATTTGACCGCATTTTCAATCTCCAGAAGAGAGCTGTTCGATATTCACTGGGTCTAAACAGCAGAACTCTTTTAAGAAAAATAAAAATTTGAACTCTTCCTTCCTTATTTATATTTGAATCCGTTTCTCAAGAAAGGCCATCTCACACTTATCCACTCAGGAACACGGAGCAAGATCTTTATCTACCTACCCCACGCCCAGAGTTAGTTAAAAGTTCAATATTATACAACTCGAAAAAAATGCATAATCACATACCATTTGAAATCAAATCCATAACATCATTTTTTTCATTTCGCAAAGCATTGAAATCTGATTTACTAGACAAGGCTTTCTACGCCGTAAATGACTTATATTTTGATAATCGAATTTGACCTTGTAAACGCTGGTCTAGTATTGGTATTACTATTATATAAGGATTTTTGCCACTTAACTGCTTATATAGAAATTTAATTCTACGCTGAGTTTGTCATAATGCGGATCAACCCGCTCTCACTACCGGTTTCGGAGCCCTAATCCATCATCAGGTGAGCCTGGGCAGATCCACAAAATGACAACCACAGTGCAGAGATAGTTAATTCCGACTTGTCGGCAAGTGTAGGTTAGATATTAAGTCCCGAACGGGAGATAGCCGCCTCCGTGCAATGGTAGTACTTTCGTACCACCGGGGCGCAACTATCGATAGTAAAATGATGGTAAAAGGCTTTTTTTCAGGCAAGCCAAATTATAAAATAGAAAACAAATTTCTTGCAGTATAGGTATATAATAAAATTATATAAGGATTCTTGCCACTTAACTGCTTATATAGAAATTTAATTCTACGCTGTGTTTGTCATAATGCGGATCAACCCGCTCTCACTACCGGTTTCGGAGCCCTACTCCATCATCAGGTGAGCCGCAGCACGCAGGCCGCTCTCTCCCGTTCGGGACTTAATATCTAACCGACACTTTCCGACAAGTCGGAATTAACTATCCCTGCGCTGGTGGTTGTCATTTTGTGGATCTGCCCAAGCTCACCTGATGGTGGATCACTACCGAAACCGGTAGTGAGAGCGCGTTGATCCGCATTATGACAAACATAGCGTAGAATTAAATTTCTATATAAGCAGTTAAGTGTGGCAAGAATCCTTATATAATTTTATTATATACCTATACTGCAAGAAATTTGTTTTCTATTTTATATTGGTATTACTATATTTAGTATAAACTAACTAAATATTTTTGAATCTTATTTTTATTCTTTGACATTGTAAACATTTATAAATGTTTATTTTAAACAATAAGACAGACAATGTAATTTGTATACTGGTTTTGTATTCTCTTTTGTTTGTTTACTTTACCTTTGTCTAAAAATTGTAATTTTTTTTTGACAATAAAGGCATTTATTTATTTTTATTTGTACAAATTTAATCAGTGTGCTTTAATTCTCAACAAATTAACTTTTTTAAGTTTTGTCGAGAAATTCCCACACTCAGATGCTCAAGATTTTATTTTAATAAAAGGTGTTCTTTAAATTTACATTAAGGTTTTCTTTTAACAAACACGTTCCTTGTGAACAACCGTCTTCCAACCACCTTATGTTATGGTGCTTGGACCGCACATGACCTGCAATATCTGATTTAATTATGCTGCGCGTATGCTTTTTATATCATTTAAGCTGAATATATCACAGGACAACAAGAGATATTGTATTTTTTAGGAGAGGAGACATCAGTAG